CCCGGGCTCGCCCCTCCCCCCCGCGCTGGCCCCGCCCCCCGCGCTGGCCCCGCCCCCCGCCCCTCCCCCCGTGCCCAGCACGGTCCCGCGGCGGCTCCTCAGCGACGCGGGGGAGGGGGAGGGGGAGGGCAGCGACGACCCCCTGGACGGCGACGACGAGCTGGTCATCGACCTCCCGGAGTGACCTCTGACCCCGGAGTGACCTTGGAGTGACCACGGAGTGACCATCGACCTCCCGGAGTGACCCCGGAGTGACCATCAACCTCCCGGAGTGACCTTTGACCCCGGAGTGATCACTGAGTGACCTCTGAGTGGCCATTGACCTCCCCGAGTGACCTCTGACCCCGGAGTGACCCCTGAATGACCATCGACCTCTCGGAGTGACCTTTGACCCCGGAGTGACCATCGACCTCCCGGAGTGACCTTTGACCCCGGAGTGACCATCGACCTCCCGGAGTGACCACTGAGTGACCACTGAGTGACCATCGACCTCCCGGAGTGACCTCTGACCCCGGAGTGACCACTGAGTGACCATTGAGCTCCCGGAGTGACCTTTGCCCCCGGAGTGACCATCGACCTCCTGGAGCGACCTCTGACCCCGGAGTGACCATCGACCTCCCAGAGTGACCACTGAGTGACCACTGAGTGACCATTGACCTCCCCGAGTGACCTTTGACCCCGGAGTGACCATCGACCTCCCCGAGTGACCACTGAGTGACCACTGAGTGACCATTGACCTCCCGGAGTGACCTCTGACCCCGGAGTGATCTCTGACCCCGGAGTGATCACTGAGTGACCCCTGAGTGACCACCGACCTCCTCGAGTGACCTCTGACCCCAGAGTGACCCTGGAGTGACCATCGACCTCCCCGAGTGACCTTTGACCTCCCAGAGTGACCACAGAGTGACCATCGACCTCCCGGAGTGATCTCTGACCCCGGAGTGACCTCTGACCCCAGAGTGACCACTGAGTGACCACTGAGTGACCCTCGACCTCCCTGAGTGAGCTTTGACCCCGGAGTGACCATCGACCTCCCAGAGTGACCTTTGACCCCAGAGTGACCACGGAGTGACCATCGACCTCCCAGAGTGACCTCTGACCCCGGAGTGATCACTGAGTGACCACAGAGTGACCATTGACCTCCCAGAGTTACCATGGAGTGACCATCAACCTCCCGGAGTGACCTCTGACCCCGGAGTGATCACTGAGTGACCACTGAGTGACCCCTGAGTGACCATCGACCTCCCCAAGTGACCTCTGACCCCAGAGTGACCATCGACCTCCCGGAGTGATCTCTGACCCCGGAGTGACCTCTGACCCCGGAGTGACCCCTGAGTGACCACTGAGTGACCATCGACCTCCCTGAGTGACCTTTGACCCCGGAGTGACCATCGACCTCCCGGAGTGACCACTGAGTGACCACTGAGTGACCATTGACCTCCCGGAATGACCTTTGACCCCGGAGTGATCTCTGAGTGACCACCGACCTCCCCGAGTGACCTTTGACCCCGGAGTGACCTCTGAGTGACCATTGGCCTCCCGGAGTGACCTTTGACCCCGGAGTGACCTTTGAGTGACCATCGACCTCCCCGAGTGACCACGAGTGACCCCCAAGTTACCGCTGACCCCCGAGTGACCCCAGAGTGACCCCGGAGTGACCATCGGCCTCCCAGAGTGACCTCTGACCCCTGACTGACCTCTGAGTGGCCCCGTAACCTCCCAGAGTGACCATAAGTGACCGCTGACCCCTGAGTGACCCCGGAGTGACCCTTGACCTCCCAGAGTGACCTTTGACCCTCGGAGTGACCACAAGTGACCGTCGATGGTCATCGACATCCCGGAGTGACCCCTGAGTGACCTCTGACCCCGGAGTGACCATCGACCTCCTCGAGTGACCTTTGACCCCGGGGCGACCCCGGGCTGACCCCGCCCCCGAAATGGGGCTAATTTGGGGGAAATAAACGGAATTTTGGGCCAAA